TTGAGGGCAACAGGAATAGATGTGCTCACGTGGTTGTCATCACAAATGTGCGCCTATGCACTGAGATCTGGGACTCCATCGAGCTGCACAGGCAGGGCCACTACTGCCGACCTACCGGGTGGAGCCACCACTGACTGATGATCTTCCTGGGGTCCAGAATGCTCACCTCTTCCCTAGTTTACAGAACTTATTTTAGTCTTTATTTAAGCCTGAGAGTGAAATCCAAGTGGTATGATGTGAAGTTCTGAAAGGTCCAAGCCAGAACTCAGAAACAGGAGACAGAGACACATATTTTCATGCAAATTCCCCAGGTTGGCCCACAACATGAGGAACTTTTCTTTAAGAGTTTTGCCATAGATTTCGTACACTCACTTAAGAGACATAGAGAGAGCGAAAGTGAATACTCACCCTCCAGAGGGGATGGTCAAGCTACAGTCCCTTCTCTTCCCTTCTCTTGGGCTTTTGGGCATGTACGTACACACGCCTGGCATGTTTCTCAAGCCACTGGTCTGGAACTCGAACCTTGGAATTTGCCATGTGGAATCCAGTTCCTTAACCACCATGCAACCTGGCCCAAAGGAGGAACATTTATCCTCCTTTTACAACACAAGGAAACTGGAATAGGTGGCCAAAAACCGTTCTACCCTCCACATCCATGCTGGAACCCAGTACCAGGATATAAAAAATGTTCTGCACCCCAAAAATGAAGGGCAGAGAATCGAGTGTTTCAAGTACTGCTGCATTTATCTCTTAGATCTCTTCCGCAATAGTGAGGTGCACAGTGGGAGCCGGGGCTCAGATGTCACGTGTGGGTAGCACTTGAATTCTTTCTTTTTTTTTTGGAGAGGTTTTTGCTATAGGGCGCGTGTGCTTGCCAGAAAGAGAGAGAGAGACAGAGAGACAGAAAGCAAGAAATCACCCCCCAGCAGGGATGGCCACGCCACAATCCCTTCTCCTCCATTCTCCTCTAGGGATCTTGGGAACGCACGCACACACACACGCCCGGCCTGAGTTTTAAGCCACTGGGTCCAGGACTCGAACTGCAGTCAGGTACATGGGAGTTCAGAGACATCGCCATTACGCTAACTGCTGGTCCCAGCACTTGAATTCTTTCCTTTCTTTGGACTTCCAAGTTTTTATAGTGAATGACTGAAAAGTTAAAGTTATTACTTTATTACATTAACTATATATATATATGTATACACACACACATATATATGTACATATAATTGTACATGGTAAATACTTAATATCTGTTTGGTAGATAAATAAGTTCATAAAGAAATACATTTTAACTTGATTTAGAATACAATTCTATGTGTGTGATTTAAATTGTTTTAATTTACATCTAATTACAGAGCTATCTTTATGGGGGTACTTCTAGGTTATTTTTTAATTAGATACATACACAGGCTAAATATAATCACATATAGTCATAGAGTGACTTTGGCAACCAAAAGTGTCTTTAATGAGACATTGCATGAAAGATCTCGAGCAAACGTCTGATGATATGCATTTGGTAATGTCGACTGTAAGTTTGCTGCTGCTCTATTACTATCAGAAAAGGTCAGAGGGCCAACAGGTGGTGTGGTGGTTGAGGTGCTGGACTCCCACATAGCTGACCGCGGTTTGAGTCCTGGACCTGGTGGCTTGCATTCTTACTTTCTTTCTCTCTCTCTGGTGAATGCACATGCCCTATAGCAAATTAAAAAATAATAATAATAATAAATAAAATTTTTTAAAAAGAAAAAGAAAGTCAGAGACATAAGAAGGCAATAAGCCATCTGCCAACCCGACTTTCCTTTCCTCTAGCATTTTTTGGGTACGTAGCATGTGTGAGGTGCTGTCTGTACTTTTTGTGTTGTCTAGGCAGAAAAATCTATGAAATTTTTTGGGTACGTAGCATGTGTCTGGTGCTTTCTGTACTTTTTGTGTTATCTAGGCAGAAAAATCTATGCAATTTTATTATTGTGAAGGGACTTGAAATTAGGCAGACTTAAGTTTAAGTTCCATCTCTACATCATTCTCTAATTTATTTGGCCAAATTGCTGAGCATCTCCAGCCTCGAGGTGTGTGTATAATCGTTTCTAACATCAGCTTGTCCCAGCAGTATGGTAGAGGTAGGCCCCGAAAGATGAGTTCCATTTTCAGGTAAGCGATAGTGCGGGGGGACTCACTTGGCTCCTATGTGGAAGGCTTCTGGAGCTTCCCTTTGACTCAGAGCAACTCTGCACAGTTGATACAAAGATGCAGAACACAGTTCAGTAATTCTGTGTTCCCCATGGAGTGGCATGACGAAGGAGTGGGGCACCCGAGGACAGCAATTTTGACTTTCAACATACTAGTCCTTGCTTCTTACTCGAGAGCTCCTTGGGAAGGTGGCTTGGGTCTTAACATGAAGGGAGGAATCAGGCAAGTTAAAAGGGCAAGTTTATCTAATGCAAGGAACTCGGGTGAAAGAGACCAGTGCAGCAACCCATGAGCAGGAACACGGCAGAAGGTGAGAGCACTCACTCAGGGAAAACGTTTCAGTCACTGGGCATGAAATTGGAATAGAACTATTTGTATGGTTCTGGGCATTATCACCAGGAGACCCCACCCTTGGTCTGGTTTTAAGAGATAAGCAGGGGTAGGACTGGCAAGTTCTTAGATGGGAAACCAGGTGAGACCGGCCCACTTGGTAGAGCATGACTTTCAAGTTACATCATTCGAGACCTAACCTGTGAATCTGCCTTATGACCTTGGGAGGTCACTTAACCCCATTGACTGAGATGCTCTAGGTGCGAATTGGAAGTGACTAAGCCTACCTTATTTGTTGGTTGTTAGAGGTTAACTGAGAAAATGCACATAAAGTTTCCATCTGGCATCTGATATGTGACAAGGGCTCAGTACACATTAGCTCCCTTCCCTCTACTTGGTGTGCTGAGCCACGGCTAGAGCCAACTGCCCAGGGCCAAGCCAAGCTGCTGAGAGGTGAACCCAGCAGATGTCACAATTGACAAGGCAAGAGCGAGACTGCCCGAGTTCCAGAGCTGCAGAGTGAGTGCAGCAGGCCTGGGCTCCGTTGGTGAGCTGGCAGATGGCACCATAGCAAGGGCACCGTCGAAGTCGAAGTGTTATGGCAACCACCACGGCTCTCAGGCTGCAACCTCTCTGGGAAAGTCCTGGACCTGCTAGAACTGGGGATGTGACACTGAATCCATTTCTCATCCCATCCTCTTGCTAGACTTCGTGGGGACAGGACATCGTAGGAAGGCCTGGAACAATGGCCACTCTCATCGCCTATCTGAAGAGAGTTTACATCAGACTTCTGAGATGTCTGCCCAAGAAGTGAACGTAAGTGTTTGGTCTCCTTTGCTCCAGAAAAAAATATGTGTGTATGTGTGTATTTGTGTGTGTGAAAGAGAGAGATTTGATTTTAATGGAGAGAGCTGCGCCTATTTATCAGTCTATGAAACTATCACCTATCACTATCTGTCAGTTTCAGGAGTACTTTACTGGTCCAGTATTCTCTATACATGAGCCTCTTAATTTATAAAATTGTGGCGTGTGTGTGTGTACGTGCAAGTGCACGCACTGCTAGGAAAGTGTCCATAGCTTTATATCCTTAAAGAGACATTTCAATCATTAAAGAGCCAATCATGTTTTTTTAGGTGGGTCCTTCCTTCCCTCCCTCCTTCCTTTCTTTCCTTGTTAAAAACTATTTAAATTATATACATGTATATTTATAATACTACTACATGTAATATTAGATATTTGAATCGGTGTTTTAAATTTTAATATTTTTATTTGGTTGTTAAAATCTTTGTAAATATTGCAAATAGATTTATAAAATGGGCATATCATAGCACATTCGGCTATTTCTGTATTATTGAATATCTAACACAATTGCAAGGTACTATTACTTTAAAAATATATTGTTAGAAAATACCAGTGAATGTGTTTGAAGATGAAAGAACTCCAAAAATTCATGAGAAACGTGTGTTATAAAAAGACTATAATAGATTTCAGATATTTTTGCACCAAAATGATTTTGTACTTAATTTCATTTTTTCCCACAAACTTTTTAAAGTACCCATTTAATTAAAAAATGTCATGGAGATGTTGAAATGTTTTTATTATATTTTGCTGCTTAATATTGATTCTCAGTTTGTAAAACATCATTCAATATCAATTTCAGAAACATCTGGAGCCTGATACACTTATTAATATCTCAGAGCCCACTAGTTGAGACAGATAAAATGAAAAGCACTCTTTTATTATTTTAAATTTCAGATTAGCTCCTTAGTTTCAACACCTGACCATGGAATTACTGGGCTGAAAATATGGGTATCTATAGTTTTATTGCCAGAGGGCATGTGTGTTCACCAGAGAGAGAGAGAAAGAGAGAGAGAGAGAGAGAGAGAGAGAGAGAGAGAGAGAGAAACCCCAGTGGGGTGTGGTCATGCCACAATTCCTTTTTTCCCCCTATTTCTCTGTCCTGTCAGGATTTTGGCCATGTACACACATGAATCCTGGCCCAGTGACATGTTTTGTCAAAATTCCAGACTGGGATTTGAACCATGATTGGCCATGTAAGATCTGATCTCCAAAACATAGCATTTAACTACTGAGCTATGGGGCTAACCCTAAATGATATTTTTATATCACATAGTTAATAGTATAAAATAGCTCCCCAGAAAATTTTCTTCAATTTTCATTTTCACTGTGAGAGTCAGAAAGTGCATTTCTCATAATGCAGTCTGTGTGTGGGTATTTCCACCTCATTCAACCTTTAGCATGGCCAGGTGAATTAATTTTGATCTCTGTTTTATTGCTGAAGAATTGAAATACAATTTTACAACCAAGAATTGAAATGCAGTTTTGCCAGCAAAACATGCCATTTAGATATTTTTCTTTTGAATTCACCAAGTACCTTGAAAAAAAAACGAACAAAACAAAACCTTGACTTTGTAAATACCAAAGACTGACAAAAGAGGCAGGGGAAGCGGTTCACTTACGCAGTCGGGAAGCGGTTCATTAATTGTCTGGTACTGGCCTGCCGACAGAACAGATCACATGTTATCTTACAGCAGTAGCTCAAAACATTGACAAGACCAGGCCCTCGCTTTTCTCCAAAAACACTATGTTCATTTCAACGAGTTTTTCCTGATCGTAATGCTTCAAAACCAATGTGCATATTTATTTGTTTTCCATTTTACCTGTGCCTTTGCAAAACAGAGGCAGTGCCAAAAGAGGAAAGAAAATAAAATTCAGACTAGTGACTACAGGGGCAAGAGGGATCGCTTTCATCGTAGCAGGTTAAAGCTCTCACTGTTAGAAGCCCTGTTTCCCGCACTGATGGCCCCAAAGTCACGATTCAGCAGCGCTGCAGCCAATGATGCAGTTTATTCTTCCTCTCTCCTCTCCCTGGATGACAGCTTGCTGTATTTACCAAAGTCTGCCCATACATCTGTCTCCTTGAACAACTGTAAGTATTTGAGGACAGGGGTCATAACTATTTATTCATCAATCCCTAGCTCGAGGCAAAAGGCCCAATATTGAACAACTGTGCAGTGCAGTAATTGATAGGTGTTTACTGAATATGGTTCGGTTAGGGTCTCTCAGCTCCCAGCTTCCTCAGGTGGGCTGGGCTTATGAAAGACTGTGTGAGATCACAAAGCCCACTCGATATTCTCTGTTTTAAAGTTTGCCCTTGCAGCACAGAAATCACTAAAAAATTGCTCATGGGACCTGCAAATCTTTTGGTTTCTTATCAACATAATTTTCCCACGTTGCATTGTAGTTTTGTACTTTCCATCTGCGTTGAGGAGCATTATACACAGAAAATGTTCTTACCACCTTCTCTTTATTAGCACAGATGCAAGAAGTTTCAGGACCAGAAGCTGAGTGCTTCTTAGCAACTGGTTTGCTTTCATAGAAAACATCATTTCTGTAAGAGATTCTATTTCTCTTCTTTTGGCTGCAAAGAACTTCAGGACAAATCTCTGGGCTGTGCCCGGGCATTGAGGAGCACCAGCGTGTGACAGGCAGTTTCACATCTTGTTCTGGCTGTATTATTGTCTTAAATGTTTGTCCTTTCCCACTAATTTCCCCTCCCCTGCAGAATATGAAGTAGTTATGAACCGTGTCAGCACACCCAGTCCTTCAAAGGGAGTGATGTATAAGTGGACAGAGGGTGGCTCAGTGGACACAGTGCTCTGGAATTCACCTGGAACCTGTGCCCTGGGGATGTGCTCCCTAGCCTAAGCCAAATAATGAGCCAGAGGAGCAGAAACCTGCCTGCACCTGCTCCTGGTTCCAGCCCCAGCCCATCCCGGTGGTAGCACAAGCAGCCATTTCTACCCTGGGGCACTAATGACCCCTTCCTGACCCAGCACAAGCGCATTCCCACTGAGCTCCCTGGCAGATTCCAGCTCTGCAGAGCAGCAATTTGTACCCTCATGAACTGAGTTAGATTAATAAAGATCAGCTGGCTTGGAAGGGGCACGTGGGCTCAGAATTGTTGGGGGCCTGCTCTGGCCCTTGTCATCTAGGAAAACAGCACCACTGCCTCATTCAGGGTTTGGTGTAATTTTATGTCAGGAAATTGGCCTCGCTGAGCGTGGTCATTATCCTGCCACCCCACGGAGAGCGCTGGCATGTGCGTTCTCACCACTGGGCAGCGTCAGCCTGAGCCTCCCCGGATGCCATGTCTCTTCCTGCCTACTTCTGTTGGTCCCCCCTGGAACCCCACTCCCTCCCACCTCCCCTTCGTTTCCCAAACACTCTGTGTCCTTTGAGATCTGGCTTCCCTGCCTCCTGGAGCTTCCGGTCTGGCCACTCCAGCTCATGTTAATCTCGCTGAATTGCTAGTGCCTTTATGTCCTGTCTCGCTCACCCTGGCATTCGAGTAGGAAGAGGCAGCCTCTGACTCCTTTGTGTGTACACTGTCCTTCTGTAGGGAAGGGATTGCCACTTATCTCTTTACCTCCTGCAGTACCTCCTTGCATTACTGCCAGTGCAGAGCTTTGCCGATGTCAGTTTCAAACATGACTCTAACGCTGTACCTCAGTTCATGTCACCCCTGCCCATGACATGCAGAGTCCATGAGGAATCCCCAGACCTCGGCACACCCTGTTCCCGCCTCCTCTCTTATCTTGTCCCTTTTGCTTCTTTTTACAGAGTCTTTCCTGAACCAAACTCAGGCTTCCCTGAACTCTTCTCAAGTAGGCCCTGACTTTGGGGCTTCCAGGTCTTCTCTGCATTGTCCATTTTAGCCATGAGCCTCCATCTTTGATGTCTGATCACCTTTGCTGTATGGTCTGGCTCCTCTTTCTCCACCATGCCCCAGCTGTTAGATTCGTTCAGCCCAAATCGTGCTCCCCTCTCCCATTCCCCTCTGCTGTTTCCTCTTAGTACTTTTCCATCCCCGGATGCCACCCTGCTCCTTCCCTGTAAACTCCCACTGTTTCCTGTATCCTGAGCTGAGTCCAATTTCTCTGCAGTAGTCCCTGAACCTATTGTGATGGTCCTCAGTGGTCGACTTTGCTGTTCTTTAGGTGACATTGAAAAAAAATGGTTTCTCACCTCCAAACTCCAGCCACATCAACCTCTTCTCAAGTCTCTTGAATCCTCTAAGCTCCTCCATCTTAGAGACTCAGCAAACCACTCCTCTGCCAGAGTGTCTTGCTCTGCCCGAGCCTGAATCATTTTATACCATCAAATAGAGTCTGCAGTGTCATTTTACACCATCCATGATCACCAGTCTCAGGCAAAAATGAAAGAGCACTTCTCGCTCATCCCATTTCTCACTACCTTAAGGTCCTGGTGTGGCAGTACATGTCGCACCAAGCCCCCTTTCCTCGTCCTGTGGTGCTAGGCTAATGCACACTCCAACTTCCCTGTGCTGGGCGGGCATGGCGTGGGGCTCTGGGCACTGGACGTGGGTGCGGAGGAGCCCGCCCCAGGCCACCCTGCTTGACCCTTCACGTTCTTATTCTTGCCTCAGCAGCAGCTGGCCAGCTGCATGGGGCCCCAAAGCTCTCGGGGGTAATGGATAATGGGGTAAAAGGAAGTGGATCCCAAATAAGTGTTTGGAAAAAGACGTCCTTCAATCCACATTGGACCACGATATGAGCAAGAAATAAACCTTTATGTGCGTCTACCACTAGTGGTAGACGTAAGTCCTTCCTGATTCTCTATAGCCCCTAGGAACAGAACAAGGCATGAATGGTACGGTCGCACTTGTACCAAGGTAGTGGCAATATTTGCCCTCTTGGTTGCTCCTGTAGCACCACTGCGTGCACTCACAGCAGAGCCTGGCCTCCGGGAAGTGCAGGGCGATGAACAGCGGAAGCTCTCAGAAGGGACCCCGCAGCAGAACCTGAAGTGGAGCCCGACTTCCTCCCTCGCTGAATAAGCTCGAGAGTGACCTCTCCTCTTACCCGGCCCCTGATCCTCACCCAAGCGACAGCCCCCAACCCTTCCAAATCTTTATGTCTTCCTGAAACTGAAAGATGGGCTGGCTGTTTAGACAAAGCTGTTTTCTAAAAAGAAAAAGAAAATTGCTCTGTAACTTCTCACATTACCATCCCGGAAGAGTTATGGTTATGTTGTGTTGATCTGCGGAGGGTCATTCATCACCCATAGACACCACGCCGCTCCAGAGAACGACTGACTTCCGTGCGCCCCTCAAGGAAACATCTTTTTACAAAAAGCAACATTCCCTTGGAAATTGTTTTTAAGAAGAAAGTGAAGATGAATGTGTGTGCTGTAGAGCCTCAGGGTCTCCTGACAGACGGAGGCACTTACTCCAGCCCTGTGGCCATCCACTGGACACTGCTTCTCCAGTCTACGGAGGCAGAGGCAGGAATGACAGTGGCTCATGGCCAAAGCCCATCCAGATGAGGTCCTCTGACCATTGGCACCAGATGCTCCTTGGGAGCTTAAAAAAAGGGAGAGAGTAGAGAAACCCTGGTGCAAACCAATGGATTGGAATCTGCTTTATACACAAGCTTCTGTAGTGATCTTTATTCACCGTGGAGTTTTAGATCTGCGGCCCTAGAAGCGCCTCTTCCCTTCTAATAAAGATGGGCCTTGTAAATTAGATATGGAGACTCTGATGATTTTCCCTGGCAAACTGTGCTGTGAGCTTCGGTCTCTGGAGGCACTGGGCTGTCGCCTTCCTCTGTGTCCCCATTTAGTACCTTCACAGGGACAGAGTAGCCGCAGAGCCGCCAGTACTGTTGCCATGGGATATTCACATTCCTAGGAAATCACAGGCTGGAAGAATTCCCAGTGGGCCCCACAAAGAGAATATGCTTATCTGGTGTAAGTATAGAGGTGAGAAGAGGAAGCCTGCAGCGTTTCAGAACTCTCTATGTATGTAGGTCGTGGTCAGTTCACAGGTTTCTCAGACAGTCCCCAGACAAGTTTCTTAAGCAAAGCCAGCTTCTCCTTTGATTTCAGTCACAAGAGGAAATCTGCAGGGGTGGCGAGGGGAGAGCGGGATGGAGAGGGTTAGCCTGGCTCCAACTCCAGAGGCTTCCCACTTACACACATGGGGAATGGAAGTGTGTGGCCCTAAGCACTGCACGGCAGAGACAGCTGCACGTCTCCCCGCGCTCTTCCCTGTGTCCTGGGCACTAGGAGTCCTTGTTGTTCAGCTGGGCGCACGGCTGCCTGGAGTGAGTACGACGTGTTCTTGCAGTTTGCTAGCCATGGGCCCAATCCATGCATGACTTCCAGGAAGCTTCCTCTGATTATTATGCAGTTTGTTTCTTTTCCTTCTCTTCCTCCATTTTTATGCCTGGAGTACAGATGTTACTATTATTTCAGGCTGTCAATTTAAGACCAATACACAGGAAGGAGAAAGACGGGAGGGTCAGGGTCTTGAAGACTTCCGGGAGCAGAGCTGCCAAGAAGCCTTGGACTGACCACGTCAGGGCTCGACTTACATAAAGGAAAACTCAAGTAGCTATCGTGTTTAAGCCCCCATGAATCTTTTTCTCAGTGTCTTGCCACCATCAACGTGTTACCTTCTTGCAGAGGTTAGCCCTGCAGTTTGCTTGTAGCGTGATGGAGTCGTAGGTCCAAGCACAAGGAATGAATGACACGGATTTCCTGGAAGTTCAGTGAGATGGTCTAGGTTCAAACCCTGGTCCTGTCACTTTCTGGCCACGTAACCTCGGGCAAATGCCATCATTTAGAAAGCTTGTTCACTGTAGTTAACAAAATGAGCAGGAGGAATGGGGATAATAGTATCTCCCTCAAGTAGCTGCTGAGTTTAGGTCATTGGTATATCTAGGAAAATTAACTCTTCATTTCCACAGGGTGACTCCCGGGCTTGGGCTAACGAGGTGTTGTGTTCTGTTCATCTTTTCAGATTCAACTTCACAACCAGATCTTTCTCAGCCAGCACAGGTCTCTTACATTGCTTTCAAGGCTGTATTAGAAACTTGTTTTTCGGGAACCAGCAGTTAGCGTAATGCTATGTCACTGGACTCCCACATAGTCAACCGTGGTTCGCGTCCCGGACCCGGTGGCTTAAAACTCACGCCGGGCACATGTGCATGCGTGCCCAAGATTCCGAGAGGAGAATGGAGGAGAAGGGATTGCCGCGTGGCCATCCCCCCTGTGGGGTGATTTCTCACTTTCTGGCAATCCCTTCTCCTCCATTCTCCTCTAGGGATCTTGGGCACGCGCGCACACGCGCCCGGCATGAGTTTAAGCCACCGGGTCTGGGACGCGAACCGCGCGGTCCAGTACATGGGAGTACAATGACATAGCCATTACGCTAACTGCTGGTCCCCCTGACTCTCTTAGTTTTTAACTCTGCTGACAACCACCTGCTGACAGTTTGCAAGGATTCTACAGACAGAGGTTTAGTGCCATCGCCATCCAGGTGACCCCACATCCAAAGATAAAAAGGCTGCAATTGTTTAGAACGTGACACCAAGTGGATTGTGACGGATTTGAGTTTCATGCCACTGATTTCTGTCTAAACTGTAACTTCTCCTGGACTCAGTTTACCCATCAGTGCACATAACGAAACCAGTCCCCGCTGGCTGCTTTCGATAGGTTAATAAACGCCTGGCATACACCAGGGATTCAGCAGATGTTAGCTTCTTGTACATCCCTCGTCCTCAGGTCCTGGGACTCACTGGTGCCTGGAGAGAAATAGTCTTTCAATTCTTAGCCCCAGACTTAGAGCCCAGGGTTCCTTCTTCCAGGCTGTGCTCTTTCTTCCTTGTGACTTTTGGGGACAGAGCACATAGGCTGACCTTCATCTCAGCGCTTTGAGAGGAGGGTAG